AGCTGGGAGACTTGGTGGTGGCTAGTTTCTATTCTTTGACCCGCAACATCCGGAGTCTCCTTCCCCTATATTTGTTATATTCTATCTATTTTTATTACATACAGTAGTTGTAATAATTTTGTATATTCCATTAGATGCTCGTGCACTTGTGATACCGAATTTTACGGATTTTAACAGATGTTCATGGTTGTGTTTGGTATTATATCATTCAACTTTATGTTTTGTTCATATTTCATAACTTGGTAAAAATGATACTATAATATAGTACTATAACCTTTCGTGATCAAAAAATTAACAATATAATTAATAAATAAAATACTAAATTCGATCATAATTGTGGATTTGTTTGTAAAATAAAATATCAATTTTGTCATTATAGATAAATAATTTTTTCATAAAAAGTAGTAACAAAGATAATTATTTTAAAGTAACAACAAAACTGGTAAATTAAATACTAAATTAATTCATAATCATATATTTATTTGTAAAATCAGATTTCGATTTTGTCTTTGTAGATAAGCACGTTTGCTCATAAGAAATGGAAAAACAAATATCAATGACATACCAACTACTTAAAAGTAACAATATAACTGATAAATAAAATACTAAATACGATCATAATTATAGAATGATTTTTAAAATCAAATCTCGCTTCTGTCCTTCTAAATACGCTTTTCAGAAAAAATAAAAAACTTACCAATTATTTAAAAGTAACAAAATATTTACGAAATTCAATCATATTTGTAGATTCGTTTTTAAAATCAAATCTCAATTTTATCTTTGTAGATGATATATATATATATATATATATATATATATATAATTATTCATTAAAAATTTGCCAATAATTTAAAAGTAATAACATAAGGTAAACAAAATACTAAATTCGATCATAATCATTAGATTAATTTGTAAAATTAATTTTCAATTTTGTCTTTAAAGATAAATTTATTCGTTCATAAGAAATAACAACGATCAATGACAAATCAATTATTTAAATGAACAACATAACTAGTGAATTAAATAACGGAGTACTAATTAATACGACATTTTAGCTAATAATATTTACACGAAGGATTATCTGAATGAAATTCAATGGTATGGTACAACCTTAGGCAGAGGTTTTCACTTTTCACTATTTACTAATTGATTTCCACACTGTCACATTGCAAAGCTTCTTGAGCACGACACTTGACATTCATGTCAATTCCAAGACAACTAAACAAAGAGCCACTCTCAACGCAATCCAAGAAAAGAAGAAAAGAATTTGCACATTGTTAATAGCGAGTGCATGTATTTTCATTCAAACTACACCTATATCAATTAATCAATTACGTTTCAATTCCAATCGTTTTATTTCAATAATGCAAAGAAATTGTTACTTTAGTTGAATTAATTTTTCTTTTCAAACTTACATCTTGTTGAATCTTCTTTGCAAGTCTCTGTCGTTATGCATCAGTTAGACATGTTACAGTAGTTTAAGGTTTTCTAACATTGTATGTTGTGGTTACTTCTACTATTATAAAATCACTAAATAGATAAAAAAGAACTTCAAATATAATATAAATCTACCAGATTAATTAAACTTTATTTGCAACTAATGTATAATTTTTCATAATTTTGTATTCTTCGTGAAAGAATAATAATTATAATAATTGTTTACTTTCACAAACTTAATTCTCTATGTATATTCTTCATTTTTAGAACATAGACATAAATCCGAACCTTTAATTAAGATGAGTATAAGAGTTAATGTTTTTACCTTTCTACATCGCCCAATAGTGGTCCTAGCCTTTGTCCTTACTAGCTTTAGGGTACGTGCGTTGCACGTGTTTATCGCGTCAATCAATTAAAATTTATATAAAAGAACAAGTTATGTAAAATTGTAATGGACATTAAAGTAGACGCAAACATTTGTTTATTAAGTTAATGCGATAGTTAGAGTTACAATAATTGGACCTACAACGATAAATGATTTGATTAAGTTTGTTATGATGCATTTACTAAAATGCCAAATATTTTAGCAAAGAATATTAAAAGTAAATATGCATGTATATTATTGTGGGAAAAAATACATGTAAATTACTAAAAAAATATTAATCATAGGAATAAAATATTGTATGTACATTTAATGTTAGATAAAAAAACTATAGTAACAATATTTTGGAGAGTAAAGTTTTATGTCAAATATGTGAAAGAAAATTTAACGATGTAGTTCTAAATATTAGGAGTTTCTATATAGTTAAAATAAGAAAAAAAATAAGTTTTAATAATTAAAATTTTATTTGATTTTAAAAATTTAGATAATAGAATTAATTAAATTATAGCTTTGACTAATATGAAAGCTATTTTAAAGGATAAAAAATGCAAATAAAATTTTGCTAAAGAGCTTCTTGCTTTTAATATAGTATCAATAGATGGGAAGTACGTGTTGCATCTTATTGTACGTTCGCTGGGTGTTACCTCGTATTAATGAGAATAATCTTCTAAAAATAACATAAATATTATTCAAAAGATGTGTTTACGTTATAATATAAGAATTAATAAAAAATTATAAGTTTTAAATGATAATTGTGTCAATCATGTTTAGGAATTTGATCTATTCTAGTAGTTTTTCCTTTAGTTTGTTCTAATACTTGCTTTATTATATAAAAATATCAGAGGAATAATATTTGATTAAAAGGTGAAACTATATTTTGTGTCTACCCGCTTTGAAAGTTTTAAAACTATAATAATTAAGACCCTTGAACCTAAAATTGATGTTCGAAGCTAAAAGTATGATTTCAAGGCATATGGCCTACGTGCCTTGGAACTTGGAAGTCCTAATTTGAATTTGTAATATATGAATTTTAAGCATCTAAATTTAAAAACGTGATTTTTTTTTTACAAATAAGGTATAGTACATAATCAGAATAGAAAAAAATTTAATACATAAACTTAATTAATTTTGACGTCCTAAATATTTAAGAAACAATTAAAGTCCTAAATATTCAAAAAATAATTAAATAACTATTTTGTTCGGTGCAAATTTTTTGACACTTCCTAAAGTAAAATTGTGTAAGTTTCGATGATAAAAACAGTAGAATAGTAAAGCTTCTTTTATAGAAGCATTACATATATAACTGAAACAGGAAAAAATTTATGTAAGGTAAAATTATATATAGTTAAAATAAATAAAGATTTTAAAAAAATAGAGACTCCTAAAACAAAAAGGAGTTCAAAGTACTTATTTTTTTACCTAATAACTTATAAAAAATTAATCTAAAATGAGTACAAAGTGATCGAAACTTTCCTAGTATAAAACGAAAGTGCTTGAAATTTAATTGAGTCAAAATTTTATTTAAAAGGCCTCCTAAAACTAAAAGGAGTTACAAAGTGGTTACTTTCCTAGGATAAATTGTGTTTAAAATTGAATACTGCTAAATTTAAGTGGAGATAGAAAGTGAAAAACCATCATAAGTCTAAAATTAAATGAAATTTGAAAGTGACGACAATTTTATTAAAAGAACATCTTAAACATATAAGTGGTATAAAGTTTTAGAAATTTTCCTAGTGGTAATTGAAAGTTCATAAAATTTAATACTACTAAATCTACATGGATTTGTAAAGGCACGACTTGTAGATCTAAAAGGAATAGAAAAATTAAAGTCTTAAATAGTAGGAGAATAATTAAATGAGTATTCCTAAATATTAGGAAATCTATTAAACAAAATATTTTTAATTATTAGAGAAATAATTAAATGACTGTTTTATCTAGTGTGAACTTTATATTTAGAGGGTAAAAAAGACGAACGACATTTCGTTTAGGGCCTTTGTGCTTTTTAGTTCCAATTAATAAATTATTTTTAAAAATTTTATAAGGTAAAATCTAAATTGATTTTAGAGTATTAAATATTAGGACTTCCTACGTAGTTCAAATAAAAAAATTATAACTAAAATTTTAGTTAATTGCAAAATCTTAAAATTTTAAGAAAAATAATTTAATACAGTTTTGTCCAATATAAGAACTATTAAAAGCAACTAAAAACGGAGAAAAAAGGTCCAAATAAGAGCATAAAAAATAGTAAAATAAATAACTTGACTAAAAGTTAAAGCATACAGTCTAATACAAAAAGGATTCTATTCAACCAAGCTTTACAATCCAGATCAACAAAATAAGATGTATTGGTTAAATACGTGCATGCAAAATTCAACTACTAATACAAATACATGAATGCAAAATTCAACTGCTTATTAAAAATTTGCTCAAAGAAAGAAAATCTGAAACCCTTAATTTTGTAGCTGTTGCTCCAACAAAGCAAAATTATGATGATGAAAATGTGAAATTGTAACTTCTTTTTATAGAATTACAGGCGTATATAAAATTGGGTGAATTTTTTATTAAAAAAAAAAGACTCTTATAAGTTTTCAAAGAGCTTGTCTTCATCTAATATAGTTATAAAAAATTCAGTGTCAAAAATTTATATCAAAACTTTCCTAGTGTGTGCATGAGTTAGTCAAAATTTAAGAACTTTTCAAATGTGAAATTTTAATACTCCTAAATTTAAATATAGTTGAAAGTATCAAAAGTTTCCTAGCATGTGAATTAGTTAAAATTTTATTAACTAAAGAAAAGCTGAAACCTTCCTATTGTGTGTAAATTGGACAAATTTTTATTAACTAAAAAAGATCCTCCTAAATTAAAAAGAAAAATTTAATAATACTCCTAAATATAGAGTTGGACGAAAACTTCATATTGTGTAGAGAATGAAAATGTTTCCTAGTATGTGTGTCAATTATAAGTATTATAGGAATAATAATTAAATAACTATTCCTAAATAGTAGGGAATTAATTAAATGACTATTTTTAATATTAGAAAAATAATTAAATGATTATTTTATCTAATGTGAACACTATTTTAATTTTAAAAAGGTAAAAAAGTCGAACCTTCGTGCCTTTTTAATAGAGTATAGATTAATTTCCTGCATTATAAATATGCTTTCCCGCCGCACAACTTCCTTCTCATTCTTCTGTTCTCAACACACTCTTTTTCTCTCTCTCTCTCTCCCCAGGGAAAAGGGACACTAGTCAGGAGTCACAACCGTTGTAAGTGTTTCGGCCCCTTTTCCCTTGCAAAAACCCTAATTTCTACGTATTTATCTCTTCCATTTCAGTGAAAAATGAAGCTCCGTTCTTTCCGTCCTTCGTCTTCGATCAAAGGTTCGCTCAAAATCTTTTCTTTCACTCCCTTTTTTTATTTCTAGTACTCTATCTATACATGTGCGATCATACACTTTTCCTTTTTCTTTTGGTGTTTTTTCTTATTTTTAGTTTTTTTTCTTGGAATTTTTACTGATTGCTCGAGCAAAATGGAAATTATTTAGTCTTAGAAATGAAATGGATGTGCACAGAGAAATTGATATATAAGTAATAAGGGTTGATTTGTGATTAATGATTAAGGGTTAAGGAAGTTCTGTTTTCTGTTTGCCCCAATCCATAGAAACGCATGAGTCTATTTTGTTCCAAAAATTCCATTTTTTTCTTTTTTGTTTCAAATTTAGTCTTGAAATGGAATGGATGTGAATAAGAGGAACTGATATATATATATCCCCAAGTGAGGTGACTTGGCAGTTGAAGAGTTGGAGTGGATCTTTACTGATTGCGTGATTAAAAATCCTTTTTATTTACATTCCCAAACCTCGTGGATAGAGTTTCCTGGTACTTGTGTTGATGGTACCTGTGTTGATAGGAGGTAGCAGGTATCTGGAGATTAGTCAAGCATGTCCTACACCACCATTATAGTAAAAAAATGTTTGACCCTAACTGACTTGTGATTAAGGATCAAGGGGTTGATTGACTGAACTGGGATGGTTATCTTCTGTAATTTTTCAAAAGGAGGTCTTTTTTGAGTTTGTCCTCATCCTCAGAAACAAATGGACCTATTTTGTTTAAAAAATTTCATTTTTAATTTTTTTGGTGTGTGATAAAGCATTTGAAAGGGAGCCTTGGCACAATGATAAACGTTGCCGCCCAGTGATCTGGAGGTAACGGGTTCAAGTCGCGGAAGCAACCTCTGTGTGCATAGCACTCCAACCCTTCCCTAGACCTGCGGATAGCGGGTGTTTAGTGCACCAGGCTACCCTTTGTGTGATAAAGCATTTCTGTTACATGGCATGTGTTATACATATCTATATCCTATATGTATGTGTTTGTATATAAGGTAAATGATGTGGTTGGACTTGAATGTGAATTGTGAAAGTAGGAGAAGGAAACTACCAATATCAGGATAGCTCTGATGAGGATAGCTCATCAAAAAAAGAGGATAATGAGGATGGTTTTCTTCCTATGTCTTCGGATTCAGATTACATCGGAAGCAGTGACGAAGGTATTATTCCATGTAACTTTTATTCTTCATGCAAATTTTACCAGTTTACAAGACGGAATTGACATGTCCTCAATTTGGTCTTTTCTAATTGTTGCGACTACAGAGACATTTTAATAGCATGCTGGGATTTTCTTTTCGCTGATGCATGATACTTACATATTTCCTATTGGGCTACTTTTAGAGCTCATGCAGACAAACATGGATGTGCCTTTGAATAGCACATGGGCGGTTAATTATATGATTGTACTAATTTGTTTCATTGTCTTTGCAGACGAAGATATATTTAATTTGTTGAGGGTAGCCCAAACTAATGGAGTTCTTGATAATGATTTCAGCGAGGAAGTTTTGTCCAATATAATAAAAAGAAGGAAAGTGGGATCCTCTAGAAAGAGGGGCAGTAAGAATATCAAATCAAACGAAGAGCAGGTAGAAGAGGAGCATGTAGATAGGATGATGAATGAAGTAGGATGTGGGGTTGAAGTAGATAGTGGCTACCGTCTATTGATGGGGAGGATAGAGGATAGGAAGAAGAACCGCGACAAGAATAAAAAGAAGAGACCCACTTTGATGTGGGAGATCTGGGAAGAAGAGAATGATCGGTGGATGGCTGAAAACTATACAAATGATTTAGACTTGGATTGTCAGAACGGGTTGGTGAATGATACTGCTGAGACACCATCTGATTTGCTTATGCCGTTGCTGAGGTACCAGAAAGAGTGGTTGGCTTGGGCATTGAAGCAAGAAGAATCTACTGCTAGAGGCGGTATTCTTGCCGATGAGATGGGGATGGGAAAGACTGTTCAAGCCATAGCTCTTGTGCTTGCTAAACGCGAATTAGGGCAAGCAATTTCTGAATCCAGTTTACTGTCATCTGCCCCTTGTACTTCCCAGGAGCTCCCAGCAGTGAAAGGAACTCTTGTTATATGTCCTGTTGTTGCTGTGATTCAGTGGGTCAGTGAGATTGACCGCTTTACCACTAAAGGAAGCAACAAAATTCTTGTTTATCATGGTGCAAACAGGGAGAAAAATATCCACAAATTCGCAGAATATGATTTTGTTATCACCACATACTCCACAGTGGAGGCTGAGTATAGGAAAAATGTGATGCCACCAAAAGAAAAATGCCAGTGGTGTGGAAAATCTTTTTATGAACAAAAGTTGTCTGTTCACCAGAGATACTTCTGTGGACCAGATGCTGTTAGAACTGCTAAGCAATTAAAGCAGGAGAGGAAGAAGTCAAAACCTGGAGGAAAGACGTCAAAGCTGAAAAAAGAATCTATTAAAGGCAAGGCTAAGACAGACAGTGATTCAGAGATTGAGACAGGTAGTAAAAGAGGTCGTGGGAAGGGTGTGAAGCGCAAGATCAAGACAGATGCCAGTTCTATTGATGATGCAGCCGGTGTTGATCAAGATATGATCACGAGGAAGTCAATTTTGCACTCTGTAAAATGGAACCGTATCATTTTGGATGAGGTAATCATGCCTAAATAGAGTCATAGACTTGCACATTCGTTTAGATAATTCGCTTTCTTTGGTTGGCATCTTCGTGAAGTTCACATTTATAATTTTCTCTGATGTTCATGAAACTTGTTGGTTTCCCTAGATATGGTTCTCATTTGTTTTTCTTTCACTTTCTTCCTGTAAGCATTCATCCTCCTATATTGGTAAGTTGTAGTTCCAATACCAGTTTTCTTCCAGACAATCAAGCTATTCATAAAGTATGTAAAGGTGGAAATCTGGGGATCAAAATGGTGATTTTTTAAGGAGCTAGAGAATGAAGATCGGCGTGGTGCATATGGATCTGATTTAGCTAACTGCTTTAACACTCTGGGTGAAAGCTAGCACATATTATACAAGGCTTTACGTGTTCATCCTTTAGAATAAAGAGAGAATGAAAAATGTTTGTCATTGTCCTAAAGCACATTGCAATGCTCAATTGCTCATGATATGAAAGTTTTATGTGCAATCTAGTTTGGGAATCCTACCCTAATTTTTCTTTTTTGACTAGGTAATGTTAATTTTGGTCTTCATAGTGAAGCATGTGCATTCTATTCTCTGTTTGCTAACTTATTGCATTTTGTGGTGTAGGCCCATTATGTGAAAGATAGACGCTGCAATACTACAAGAGCTATTTTTGCGTTAGAATCTTCTTATAAGTGGGCGTTAAGTGGTACTCCCCTCCAGAACCGTGTAGGAGAGTTGTACTCGCTTGTAAGTTTCTTGTGATTAATGCTCTCTTGTCGCTAACGTACTGTGAAACTAAATACATGCTTTACTTTTGGACAGGTTCGTTTCCTGCAAATGATTCCTTACTCGTACTACTTCTGCAAAGATTGTGATTGCAGAGTGTTGGACTATAGGTAGACTTAAAGCGTCTTTCTGATTTTTGCACCTAACCTGGTTGGAGAAAGAAACATGTTTCTCAAGATTTATTTTACTTTTACTCTGTTATTTCTTTACGTTTTTAGCAGAGAATATGTCATTGAATGTTTCAATGACTTGAAGTTTTTCTTACTTGAATCTCTTTTTCTTTTTTTGACTTTTGGTGAAATCTCTTGTATTCTGATTCCTTTTTTATATTTGTCGTAGCCCAACCGACTGCCCACATTGCCCCCACAAATCTGTTCGGCACTTTTGTTGGTGGAATAAAGTAAGTATGGAATTCATATAGTTATTTTGGTGCTTCCTTTTATTACTGAGAAAAAAAGATTTGCTAACATAGAGGTTGGTACATCTTCTGTTTCTAGTATATTGCCTCACCCATACAATCTCAAGGGAATCGTGGGACTGGAAGAGATGCGATGGTTTTGTTGAAACACAAAATTTTGAAAAGCATATTGCTAAGACGTACTAAAAAGGGAAGGGCTGCTGATCTTGCGCTTCCTCCCAGGATTGTAAGTTCTGTCCCCCATTAACGCATTGCTTGAGTTCATAATCATTTTCTCTCCAGTTTAGCTGGTTACTTATTTTCGCGTTCAGGTTACCTTGCGCAAAGATTCTTTGGATGTTAAAGAAGAAGACTACTACACATCACTGTACAATGAAAGCCAGGCACAATTTAATACGTATGTCATCTTTTTTAATCATTACTTATGCAACTAGACTTTTTTCTTGTTTGAAAGTCATTTTTGCTTTTGCTCTCCGTTTGCTGCTCGTGTAAAGTTCTCTCATTCAATTTGTTTAACTGGGGAAGCTCATGGTTTTTCCTTGTGTTATTTTTCTTTGGTCTTTGGATTGACTACTCGCATGGTTTGTGTTTCATCTAATTGCTGTGTGTTAAGTCATCCTGGAAGATACATGCGTTTATTTCTTGGAAATCCTGAAAAATAATCATCTTACATCTTTTTCTCTGGAAAATGCTCAAAACCTGCTACTTTTACCTTGTGAAAAGTTAAAAATGAGCGCCGGAATAAGCATCGTATTTTTTCCTTACTGCTTTATTGTTTTATTTCTGATTTATTTTGGTGCAGATACATTCAAGCTGGTACTCTGATGAATAACTATGCTCACATTTTTGATCTACTCACACGGCTGCGACAGGTATGAAGATCATGCTTTCAATCTGAACTGTTCTGGATAATGTATTGGTACCTGCATTTCAATCTGATGCTGTGCTATTGGTTAATTGTTAAACCTTCAAACTATGGATCTAATGCATTTCTTCTTTTCTAGAAGAAACATATCGATACTTCTGTTGTTGCTATTGGTTAATTGTTAAACCTTCAAACTATGGATCTAATGCATTTCTTTCTTTTCTAGAAGAAACATATCGATACTTCTGTATCCATTGTGGTAAAAGCACTAAACCATGGAAATGAAATATTTGATGTTGTTAATGGGTGAAAATCTTGTAGTACTGCAGAACTTGGAGCAATTAATTCTCACTAAGACGAAAACCTAAGATTTCAAAAAACTTAAAGAAACCATCAAAAACAAGAATTTGCAAACTACTTGGCAACTCTGCTTCTACAGAATAGCATTGACAGCACCTGGGATCCAAGGGCAAAGATCAGCACACTCTTTCCCAATTTAGCCAGTGATTGCACCCTTTGGATTCACAATCACTTCAGCATTATCTTAAAAGTACATGTAAACACCGTCCTTTCTGCCCTATTGTCACGACACGGATTTTCCACCCTTAGGAGTCGTGATGACGCCTACTAGTGAAAGCTAGGCAAGCCAATCATTCCAAATATTTTACCTTTTTCATTTTTAATCCTTTAACAATTGTGAATTAACATTGTATAAACAACTGAAATAATAAAGCGGAAGAATGAAATGTAACAATCTAATATTAATACCGATACAAATCCATAAATAAAAGCTAATCAAATCTGGTGTCACAATTCACAGACCGTCTAGGAATGTTACAAATAGGGGTCCGAAAGATAAATACAAAGCTGTTTCAGAAATACATAGAAGAAACAATATGGAGAGATAGAAGGAGACGCCAAGGCCTGCGGACGCCTGCAGGACTATCTCGGGTCGCCTGATGGACTGAAGGCAACAACCTTACTGTGGTCCAACAGCTGCAGCACCGGGATCTGCACACAGTGCAGAGTGTAGTATCAGCACAACCGACTCCATGTGCTGGTAAGTGCCTAGACTAACCTCGGCGAAGTAGTGACGAGGCTAGGACAAGACTACCAAATAAACCCGTGCAGTTAACTCATATACAACGGAAAAGTAAAGGCAAAAATTTATAGTTAAGGATAGGAGAGGGAAACATGCTGCGGGGAACAACAAGTAACAACAGAGAAACAACAGATGAATGTAAAGAACACCATAATTCAATTATCAACAAGAATCAGAAATCAAAGACAAGTGCACGGCATCACCCTTCGTGCTTTTACTCTCGTCCTCACCACAAGAATCAATATAATAAGCACGACATCACTCTTTGCGCTTTTACCTCACATAATTATGCAGGGAATTATCCATCGTGCATTATCACTCATATCATGGCTTAGCATTGTACATCGTGCGGCACGACATCACCCTTCGTGCTTTTACTCTCGTCCTCACCACAAGAATCAATATAATAAGCACGACATCACTCTTTGCGCTTTTACCTCACATAATTATGCACGGAATTATCCTTCGTGCATTATCACTCATATCATGGCTCAGCATTGTACATCGTGCGGCACGACATCACCCTTCGTGCTTTTACCTCACAATATTAGCACGACATCACCCTTCGTGCATTAACACACTCAAAATCATGCACGACATCACCCTTCGTGCTTTACACTCTTCCTCACCCAAGCAACAATCACAAAGCAATTTGGGCAAGAGAATCAATAATATCACAATAATATCCCGGTAAGGGAACAATAGCATAACAACAATATCCCGGCAAGGGAGATAATATCATGAGTAATTACATCCCGACAAGGGAGATAATATCAAAAGCAATAACATCCCGGCAAGGGAGACAATATCATAAACCTCTTCTCTTTTCCACATTTACTTCACAACTCAATTCTCAACTTGAGCCAACGCTCGACAATGTTCAATTTCCAATAATACTTCCACAAGCCTTGTTCAACAATAAAAATCATCGTATAAAGCATGAACAATACGAAACAGAGTCACATTAATCATAGTATAAGACTCACGGGCATGCTTGACACCAATGTATAGATACTCGTCACCATGTCTATATGTCGTACTCAACAATTAACACATAGCAAATAAGACACAACTCCTAATCCCTCAAGCTAAGGTTAGACCAAACACTTACCTCAAAGCCACGAACACAATTCAAGCCTCAACTATCGCTTTACCTCTTGTTTCCACCACCAATTCGCTTGTATAATTGATTTGGAGAAGAACTATTCTTTAGAAAATCACCCAAGAGAGCTTAGAGTTTGAGAGAGTTTTGAAAAATGAAGAAAAATGCTTCTAAGTCCTAATTCACTGGTCGCAGATGTCGCAATTGCGACCAGTCGCAATTGCGAACCCCTTCAGGACCTGCTGTCTTCGCAAATGCGAGGGATCTGTCGCATTTGCGACCAAGGGAAAATTCGGTCACCTTCGTATCTGCGAGGGACTAGTCGCATTTGCGACCAAGGCCTGCCCAGGCTAGGGTCGCATTTGCGACATCTGGGTCGCAATTCCCATGCCTGGGAATTTCGCAATTACGAAGCCTGGTCTTGCAAAGGCCTGGGTAAAACCAGATACCAACAACCTTTCCTAAGTCCAATTTCACTCCGTGACCTGTCCAAAACTCACCCGAGCCCTCGGGGCTCCAAACCAAACATGACCCTAACCTAAAAACATCATACGGACTTGCTCGTGCGATCAAATCATCAAAATAACATTAACAACTATGAATTAAACCTCAAATTCATGAAATCACTCAAGAACATCAAAATTACTATTTTCTCAACTATAAGTTCGTTTTATACCAAACCAACTCCGATCTTTACCAAATTTTACAGATTCATCTTAATTATTATTTCAAACTTGTACCGGGCTCCGCAACCAAGATACAGGCCCGATACCATCAAGAAAATGCATCAATTCACTTCTAAAAACCTTTGTATTTTTTCAGAAAATAATTTTCTTTAAAAAATTCATTTTTCGGGTTTGGGACCTCGGAATTCGATTCTGGGCATATGCCCAAGTCCCAAATTTTACTACGGACCCTACGAGACCGTTGGATCACGGGTCCGGGTCCGTTTACCCAGAATGTTGACCAAAGTCAACTTTAATCAATTTTAAAAGCCAATTTCTTTATTTCACTTAGTTTTCACATAAAAGCTTTCCGGAAACGCGCCCGGACTGCGCCCGCAAATCGAGGTGAGACAAAGAGAGGTTTTTAAGGCCTCAGAACACAGATTTACTTGCAACACAAGTGATGACTTTTTGGGTCATCACACCCATGGTTTGCGAACAATAATAGCGGGCATAACTTTCTTAAGATCTGGCTTACCTTTCTTGACAGTGGCCATAACCATGTGTTCCACATAAGCTGAAGGTGACCTGTTAAGCCTTCCACTGATCCCTTTCACGGAAATAATTACTGGTTCTTCGCACCAGTGTTACTAGCAGTTCAACTTCGCCACTACTGGCAAACCTAGCACATCCTGAACTTCTCGTCCTCATTTCGACATTGTGGGCGGCGCCGGTCCCTCTGTTTTCTCTCAAAAAATGAAGAGTGGATCTAATGCATTTTTAATGATTCGAATCATATTATTTGGGGCAATTCAAGATATGTAGTTTAAATTTTCTTACTGGAGATATAGTTTTATACTTCAATTATTACGATCATTTTTTTGATAACCTCATTTGTTAGGATCACTTGGTTTGTAGTATTAGCCTCTGAATTAGGCTTGGATAGAGTTACCTGTTGTTTGTTACAAGTCTGGGTCAGAACAAATTATCTGCAATCACCAAATAAAGTAAGCCTGGGAAGGTGTGAGATTATAGTTCAGGGATGCTATTCCCCTGTGAATCGAGGTGAAAAAAAACATGCTCCTCAGTTATGAATAGAGAAAAACAAATTCTTTTGATATTTCTTCCTCTTTTCTTTTTCCTTCTTCCTTTCTCTTCAATTACTTCCTTACCCAATTGTTTTCTAAATATTCTGGAAAACATATGTAAAAACAAATAGCAAATCTTTTTGATTTAGTAAACCAAACCAGTATTCAAGAAACCAACTGAAAGTTGGTGGTCCCAAAAATAGAAACCAACTCAAAGTCAGTTTTGAAAAAGCAAATTAATTTTGATTTCTAGTCAAACTCAACTTAATGGTTATTGGAACACGACCTAATCCAAACAAGCAACATGTTTAAAGCTAAGTCTTCCAAAATAGCTGAACCAAAGCAATTTCAAATGCCACTCTATTCCTCTCCGACTACTGTCCACTCTGCTCAAGTGTTTTTCTCCCTTCCGCAGCATCTATTGCAGTTTGGTCTTCACCTGCCACGGCTGCTTGATTTTAGATCAGTGTTGACATTCCTCCCCCATCTCGCATCATTTATATTCCTCCTTAAGCATTTTTTTCTGTAATATTTTCACTATAGCTTTTATTCACCGTTTATTTATACCTTCAATATTTTTGTATAGTCTTGCTTTTTTTTTTTGAATCCATTTCTTATTGGCATGTACTTTCTTTCAATTTAACTAATCTCTTTTTCCTTTCTCCATGGTTTTCCGTACTTAATTTTTTCTTGTAATATTGTCATTACTATTCTTTTTATATGATAAAGTGTAAAACTCCACCCATGAACCCCCTACCACTGTACCAAGGAGTCCAACAGGATTTTCTACTATGTTTCCTTGGTTACTCAAACCGTCATTCATATGATTGGAGGTGGTGGGAGTTCCCCACTAGGCTATGCATCCCTTATCTGTAATATTTACATCATGGTGTCTTATTGAATTTAAGTTCGTATAAATGAATGCAGTATTTGGATGACAAATCAATGAAAAAGGAGAACATTATGTGAGACAAAAATTTAAGAGGCTAAATCCACTGTTGGTTTGGATCATAAAAAATCTGCCTGATACGTAATCTAGTGGGGCGAAATGTTAGACAAGGATTCCCATCTGGCCTACGGCCCCCTTGCTAATAATTTAACTTTGATGGACAAAATCCTGCATTGTCCTTGTTTAGTTAAATGGCACTTATGCAATAGCATGTTATATGTCAAATTGCATACACAGAAAGTGTTTTCTGTAACTCTTTTCATATTGAAGTACCGAGTTTGTTATTCTTATTTTTAATTCCTAGATTAAAGAAGTATCATGCAAGAACAAGAATGAGCTTTAACTTTGTTAGTCTTCTTTGTGATTGCAAGTGGTTACTCTGATTATTTTACTCTTTCTAGCATGCTGTGGCCCAAAATTTTCTGAATTTGGGATGTTGTCCTCCATTACATTACCTTATATACAAATCTTGCCTTCTCCTGTTGCATCTTCTGAAGTTCCGTGATAAATGTAGGTCCTTAAAGAAATAAACAGTTCAAACTTCTTGTAGTAAGGCACACAATTTGACTTTCTATGATATGCATGCTTCTTTCTTAAAAATGATCACTTTGTAAAATTTTGCTTGTATTTGATTGATTTTATTTTTACTTTATTTTATTTCTGGTCTGACCGCAGGCAGTTGATCATCCTTACCTTGTGGTATACTCTAGTACTGCTTTGGCTAGAAGTGGAAACACTGATGATTCTGGCTATGTTGAACAACCATGTGGTTTATGTCATGATCCAGTAGAAGATCCAGTTGTGAGTTTTAATCCCCTCCCCCTTTCATAAGAAAAGAAAGGCAAAAAAGGAACAAGCTCATCAAGAAATTTGATACTTCACGAAAATTGAATTTGATGGAGTTCGTACTTGCACTACATTAATATTCTGTATACTATATGATTGATATTTCAAATCTTAATGTGGCCATATTTCTCATAATTTGCATCTACTATGTTTTTTTAAAAGCTACTCCTAATAGCTTCTCAAGTCTTTTTGTAAGTGCCTGAGCTTCTGCAAATTCTTTTCCAGCACTGCATGAAAGACACTCAATTTTTTACTAGAAGATCTTTTAGGAATGCCTTTTACACCTAAAAGGACTTCATAAAACTTGTGGAATTTATGATCTGAATTCTTGTACCTCATTTCTTGACAACCTAAGATGCTTTGAATTCCTTAACTATTATTCTGCTGTTTGAACCAGCTTTCTTATAAAACTGTGTTTCTTTTGACTATGGCAGGTTGCTTCTTGCACACATGTCTTTTGCAAGTCATGTCTGATAGATTTTTCTGCAACTGTGGGGCAAGTGTCATGCCCTTCATGTTCTAAACCACTTGCAGTGGATTTCACTGCAAATGACAAGGGGGATCAGAAAACTAAACCGACTGTCAAAGGGTTTAGGTCATCAAGTATACTGAACAGAATTCGTCTTAATGATTTCCAGACAAGCACAAAAATAGATGCTTTGGTATAAGATTACTTTCCCTTCAATAACTATATTTTATCTTGCCTTTATCTGTTGCTTTATGATTTTCTTTCCTCTCTCAAAGAGTAGTAGGGGCTGCTATACTGCATCATTTGCAGGCACTAAATTTGTTTCCTAAGACTCCTATGCCATCTAACTTACCAGATATAGGACCTAGATGATGTTGTGCATTTAGAAGTTCAGGATGATAGTTTCTGTCTTTCTAGATTTTTCTTGGTGAATTTGCGTTATAGGCACCTAGGAAAATTGAGAAGTTCTTGTCAGGCTTGGTTGTGTGCTAACTTGGGAACAGATGAGGTCTATGGAAGTTCTGCTTGCCATTTGGCAATTTTGCATCAAATACTGCCCCCATTTTGAAGTGGAAACTAATTGAGGAATAATAAGTTTTCTTTGTGGTCTCATTGTTATTTATATCCTTTGGCATTTTGGCTTAAATTCTTCTAATATTATTCTTTTGAATATTTACAGTACCTCTGTTATGGTAGTAAGAACCCCTATGTGAAGTGTTAAGGTGAACTTTGTATGTGAAGTGTATGCTTCATTCTCATTACTTGTTTTATTTGGTTCTAGAGAGAAGAAATAAGGTTCATGGTTGAAAGAGATGGTTCTGCAAAAGCAATAGTTTTCAGCCAATTCACATCGTTTTTGGATCTGATACACTATTCTCTACAGAAGGTAAGACATTTTATCTTTGTCCCCTTCACACCTACCCCTCCTTTTGCCATCAGTAATTACAGCAAGAAGCATTTCTTGTGTGCATTTGGCAGTCGGGTATCAGTTGTGTTCAATTAGTTGGATCCATGTCTATAACTGCAAGAGATTCTGCAATTACAAGATTTACCGAGGATCCAGATTGCAGGATATTCCTTATGAGCTTAAAAGCTGGAGGTGTTGCCCTCAATCTTACAGTGGCATCGCATGTAAGGAGTTTCTTTCCTTTCCCTGTGAATGCGGACTCTTCATTTCTTTTTAAATACCAAGTGGTTTGAATCTATTGTTGCATTATTTCTGCTGTTCAGGTTCCAAATATTTTGTTTCATTTGAGATATTTTAACTTATCTTCTCTGTGCACCTAAAGAACCAGCTTAGATTCTATGTGGACTTGTAATTTTTTGTTTGAATGACCTAGACTACTTTCCTTGTTGCTCTTCTCTGTAACTTTACTAGGTTTTCTTGATGGATCCTTGGTGGAATCCTGCTGTGGAGCAGCAAGCCCAAGATAGAATCCATCGAATAGGGCAGTATAAACCAATCAGGTGCGTATTTGTGTTTCTTCAACCTGCTATGCCATTGAAAAGGAGCTTATTGCTGTTTTCTCATTTCTAGGATTGTGAGATTTGTGATTGAGAATACAATTGAGGAGAGGATCTTAAAGTTGCAAGAGAAAAAGGAACTGGTTTTTGAAGGGTAAGTTTCTCCAACTTCACTGAGGTAGTTGCATGTGTATTCAGAGAGTAATTTGATGACTTGTAACTGCTGAGTGATTTTCGTAATGTTTCCCTCAGAAGTGATTTCAAGATAAATTCAGAGATCACGTAAATTTTTTCTGCTGTAAAAAAAATAAAAGAGCAGCCCGGTGCACTAAGCTCCCGCTATTTGAGGTACGGGGAAGGGCCGGACCACAAAGGGTTTATTGTACGCAGCCTTACCCTGCATTTCTGCAAGAGGTTGTTTTCATGGCTTGAACCCATGACCTTCTGGTCACATGACAGCATCTTTACCAGTTTCTGCTCTCTAGATCTTTGTATAAAATATGACCTGATGAGTTTAAATGGAGCGACAATCAGTGAGGATTTATATAGCCAGCTCCATCTTGTTTGGGATTAAGGTTTAGTCGTTGTCGAGATGTTTACAACTAAAAAATAAGACGGTTGGCTAGGGATTGAAATGGGGCTATACATGGAGCGCTCGAATAGGAGGTTTAGGGTTTCTCATTCATATAAGTTGCAAAAATATACACTCAGATGCATCTCCCCTCGAATCTCATTTGGACAGAAATTACTGACCTTTTCCGTTTTACTCTTAGCTCCCGACTTCTCTCTTTTACTTGGCCACTCTTCCTTTTCTCTCTGATGTCCTGACATTCAATATTAATGCTTTTGCAGGACGGTCGGTGGCTCTTCGGAGGCCTTGGGAAAACTAACAGAGGCAGACTTGAAATTCTTGTTCGTAACCTAATTAGATTATGTTCCGTTACTTGGTTCAGTGAAAAAGCTCATTTGTTCTTGTTTCGTTTCTTGCTCGAATCTTGTACCTACTGTTCTAGCTTTTGCAAGTAGGAAAGGCAATACTGCTTTTGATGTATCCAGAGGGAACTGTTGTCGGGTTTGCATCTCCTTGATTTTGTCATCTGCCGGAACTGTAATATGTTCATACCAATTTCAGAAGACCTTTTTGGGCAATGCTGCACTCTCTTTTCAGATTAACGAATGGAAGCAGTGTCATATTGTTTTAAGTTAACGAATGATGGTTAGGAAACACATAAGAATAGTGCAATTATCGTAATTCCTAATAAAAAATAACTATTGACTTGACACAGTTAAGTTGGAAAGATAATTAGCCTATTCCCGCTTATGCGTACTTCATGGCTGATAGCCTTGCTTTCGCGTTCCCCCTCCTTCCTTAGATAGGTTAGCACTCATGCTGCTTCACGCAACTATAGAGAGGGCAATTGAATCAGTCGTCAGAATTTTTGTATTTGTTGAGATAAAGGTGAAGCACCGTTTGTTTTAGTCTAATGGAGTTATTTGTTCTTTTTTTTGTTGTTGTTGCTTTTAATAGGTTTGACGTTGGATACTTAAAGATTTCTATGAATATGATTGTTTACTCTTATATCCATTGCGACCACAAGCCTTAAGCGTACAATCACCATTGTTAACTACCACCACCGGCTAGAGCTATCTTCAACAACTTTTGACGCATAACCACAATCCTTCATCGACCTCCGTTGCACAACTACCATTGACAACCAACAACCACCGTATCACTTTCATTGTCAATCACCATGACCAACTATCATCACCACTAATTTACCACCACCATGATCCACTTCTACCACTAACTACCTTTGTCAGCCTCCACAAACCACCTCCATTGCCGTTCTCCATCCCCAACGAAACACCACTGCTATTGCTAACCATCATTAATTACCACCCTCCAATCATTATCATCTCCAGTCATGTCCATCATCAGTATGGCTAACGATCACTCTTACTAGCTTTTAAAGTGTATTTGATCAAACAAACAACTTAAATTACAATGTAAATTAGTATTTTCACTAATATTTTGTTGATATAGTATTTAATTACATATTTTAAATTTTATAGTCATTAATAAGTTTTAATAATGATAAATTAAGGACTCATATGTTCAGAAAACAAACAATATTAATTATATATTGTTTAGATTTAGAGTCATCTTAATAATCATATAAGTTTTCAGATGTATACATATTAATCCAAAATTCCTAATAAAAATAAATAAAGCCTAAGTCTATCCATCTTTAAAATATCGAACGAAAAATAATTTTCTCTTTCAAAAAAATTGAGAAATGGAATAGAGAGAAGTTATATCTATATCTATTTTTTGTGAAGTGTGCATTTAAAAATAAATTTTTAAAGAGTTGTATAGAGAAGAGTTATTTCCACCAACAATAATTGCACATTAATTTCAAATAAATTGGATCGACAATATGATTCCTGTCTATTTACTTTCCTCCTTTTAAGTTCATCTCAAATTTATCTCAATATAATATTGTATAAAAATAAAAATAAGAACTCTAAGAAAAAGAACTTCTGCACATAAGTTCCTTATATTCTACTATTATACAAAATTTTCAATTAATTGGTGTCGCTCACATAGACTTTTTGTTTTCCTTGTATCATATTTTTGCTAGTTCTCATGAACTCCAGAAAATTGTAGGTTTTTAAGAAAATTTCTCTGTGATTTTCGGTTTACCTTATTCCTTTTTAATATTTTCACTTATCATACTTTTACACCTATCAATAAGTATATTTAAAGTAAATGTAAGACATAATCAAATCCTTTCCAGCAAGTTTCTCTCGTTTTATCCTCTATATATGCTACTTATACACCTTTGCCAAATCTAGCCATCTTTAGACTATTGTTGTATGATCGCATATCCACTTTAGAATTCGAATAAGTATGAGACCCATTTTATGGATATGTTTGACTTTAAATGCCCAACATTCGCTCCATATAATATTGCTAGTTTTACAACCGATCTATAAGACTTGTCTTTTTATTTGGTAGATATCATTTTATCACGCAAAACTTTAGTGACACTTGCATTTTGGCTATCATATTTTCAATTTATATAACGTCTTCATCTATCACATAATTTTTTTGAAACATCAGGCCTAGATATCTTAATTATTTGCATTTAGGCAAAGTGATTCCGTATAATCTCACTTCTTTATTCTTCTGTAACGACTCGGCCGGTCGTTTCATAAGTTACAGTCCCGTTAAACCTATTTCTGCTTCTTTATGTGTTGTTCAGTTGTATTATGTGGTATTGGGTTGTTTGGTTCGGGTTCGGAGTGGTTGTGTAGAGGAATGAGACACTTAGTCTCTTTTTGGAAAGCATTAGTTGGAAAAGTCAATCGGAAGTTGACTTGTGAGTAAATGATCTCGGAACTTAGTTTTTATGGTCCGGATAGCTTCGTGAGGTGATTTGGGACGTGTGTGCAAAATTGGAGTAGGTCCATTGTGTCATTTGGAGTAGGTCTGTTGTGTCATTTGAGACGTGTGTGCAAAATTTCAGGTCATTCAGATGAGATTTGATAGACTTTTTGATCAATTGCGGAATTTGAAAGTTTTGGAATCCTTAGGCTTGAATCCGAGGGTGATTTGGTGGTTCGATGTTGTTTGGAGTGTTCCGAAGGTTGGAATAAGTTTGAATAGTGATATGTGACTTGTTCGTATTTTTGGATGAGGTACCAGGGACCTTGGGATGATTTCGGATGGTTATCGAAAAGTTTGAAAGTTGGAGAATGCAGCTGAAGCTGCTGGTTCTGTCATAACCGCACCTGCGGTTAGGGGACCGCAGGTCCGAAGACCGCAAAAGCGAGGAAAGGCCGCAGATGCGGTTGAGCAGCGCAGAAGCAAGAGTTAAGGCGCACCTGCGAGCCCGCAGGTGCGGTGGATTGACCGCATGTGCGGACGAGAGGATTTAAGTGAAAATCCGCAGAAGCGGAGATTTGTCCGCAGGTGCGGAAATACCTGGGTAGGAACTATATAAACATGCCTTCGCGAAATTTAGGTTGTTTTTCACCATTTTATCCAGAGTTGAAGCTTTTTGGAGGGTTTTGAAGAGGGAATCAAGGGGGTTTTCATTGAGGTGAGTTTCTTGAACATAAAACTCAATTCTATATTGATTTTCAGTTGTTTAAGCATGAAATTAGTGGGATTTAAAGCCTAAAAATTAGAGAATTAGGGTTGAAATTGGAGAGTGTAAATTGGGGATCTGAGGGGCCATTTGAGGTTCGATTTTGATGTTTTTGGTATGTATGGACTCGTAGGAGGATAAGAATTCTATTGATGTAATTTTTATCGGATTCCGAGACATGGGCCCGGGGGTCGGGTTTGACCAAATTCGGGATTTTTAATGTAATTTGATTATTTTCGCGTGGGCTTTGTTCCCTTAGCGTATATTGATGTTATGATTCTAATTTTGCATAGATTCGAGGCGAGTTGAGGCCGAGTCGAGAGGCAAGGGATTCACGGTGTAGGATTTCATCCGGTTCGAGGTAAGTAACGATTGTAAATCTAGACCTGAGGGTATGAAAACCCGAAATTTTGTACTGTTTTGAAAAATGAGGTGCCACACATGCTAGGTGACAGGCGTGTGGGCGTGCACCTCTAGGGATTGTGACTTAGTCCGTCCCGTGGCGACTGTAGAGTTGCATATTTTGATACACTTTATATGATATCCATGTGTTTTAGAAATGAATCTGTTAACTTGGGCGGAATGCCATGTTTGGGGCCTTGTGCTGAACTGTTTGGACCCTTAAGGGCATTTTACTACTTTCCTCACACTGTTTTGATTTGAAAGCATATCCTCAGTCATGATTTTACCTGTTTATTATTGATTCAGTTTTATTACTCTACTTTCAAATATAAGAAAATTGTTTGGGCTGAGTTCCCTGATTTTAACTGAAATGCCCGAGTGACTGTGAGGTTAATGACTAAGAGAGAGGTTGAGGATCTGATAGTGAGGACTATATATATCTATGGGCCGGGTTGCACGCCACAACAATATTTATATGTATATATGGATCGGGATGTGCGCCGCAACAATATTTATATATATGGATCGGGTTGCACGTCGCAGCGATATGTTGGATCGGGCTGCGCGCAGCGATATAACGCTTGAGCTGTCGGAGCCCTTCCGGAGTCTGTACACCCCAATGAGCGTAGTCGACTATATATTGTGGATCGGGTTGCATGCCGTAGCGGTTATTATTATTATTATTATTATGAAATATCTATTGAGTGGGAGTGCTGAGTGTGAGTACTGATTGACGAGAGTTGAGTCACGAGTGATTGAGAGGCTTGCCCGACGGGCTATACTTATGAGTGATACTTTACCCGAGGGGCTTGCTTATGAGATTTCCTGTTTTCACTCTTCTTTTACACTGAGCCTCTATTGAAAAACGTTGAATAAATGCTTTAAAGGATTTTCATTAAAACTGGAGTTTTTACGAGACATTCGGTTATTGAACTGCAGATTTTGACTTTGATATTTCTGTTGAAATTCTTGGTAAAGTATGTATATGATTTTAAATGCTCGTCACTGCACTCAGACTTTATTTACTTTGGTTACTTACTGAGTTGGCGTACTAACGTTACTCCATGCACTATGTGTGCAGATCCAGGTGCCCGAGCATCAAAGTGAGAGCTTTTAGCAGCTTCTGTGTATTTTCGGAGTTAGCAAGATAGCTGCACGGCGTTTGCAGCGCTGCCTTTCTCCTTCCTATCCTAGTACTTTATATTTCAGACTTATTTTTATATTAAACAGACAGTGTTGAGTTGTACTTAGTGGCTCATGACTAGTGACACCAGATTCAGGTTGTGTTGATGTATTTACGTACTTGTTTCCGCGTATTTCTTTTGATATTTTAAAAATGAAAGATTTGAGACTTAATCTGTTTGGAAAAACAAATTTTACAAAAGATCTTCTATATTGTTCGTGTTGTTTCGACTGGCCTAGTACTGTAATAGGCGTCATCACGACCGGGGTATTTGGGATCGTGACATTTTCCTATATTGACTAAACTTACATTTACGTATATTCAATCTTAGTTCTGTTTATCCTAATATCCTCATACTCAAGAGCGTTTCTCCCTAGTTCAAAGTTTTTGGTAGACAGACTCATTGGTTTCACTAATGAACATAATAGCAAATATCATACATCATGCGACTTTATCCTGTATAGTGTTGGTTTGCTCATTCATAACTTAGATAAATAACCATGAGCTTAATGTCGATTTCTGGAGTAACTCATGATTATGAGAAATTCCTTTGTATACCATATTATTGTCCGCACACTAATGACAACTCCTTCGTACATATTCTTTATAATATTTTGTATATTTAACATTAATTCATGTCTTCTTTAATATTTTCCAAATGTCTTTTCTTGACATTCCATCACACATTTTCTCTAGGTCAATAAACACAATATATAAATCTTTCTTCTTCTCATAGTAAATTTTCATTAATTTTCTTTGAAGGAATATAACCTTCATTGTAGATCTAATATGTATAAATTCAAGATGGTTCTACGTAGCTCTTGAGCAGAAATACGCTATCAATGTTTCTCAAAGTTTCATCATATAGCTCATAAGTTTAATATTACGGTAGTTCACATACCTTTGAATATTTTCATTGTACCTGTACATTCAAATCAAGATACTCTTTCTCTACTCGTAAGACATACTAACCATTTCTTTATATATAATACTAATTAACCTGGTAAGTCATATTACTCCAACTTCCTTGAAAAAAGCTATATTTATCCTTTATGAAAAAAACTGCATCAGGTGTTTACACCAAGCAAATAAATAAATGACACTTGTCATTATATTAAATTACAGTTGTTAGTACTTAACTAAGGTTAACTACCTTTTATTTTATACATGATCTTAAATAATAATATAAAATTATACTTGATCGCCTTGCTATTCCCTTGTGCTCTTAACGGCAAGTAGATTGAATAGAAATAGTTAATCATTTTTATCAATTCTTGTGGCCAAAAATATTTCTATCTTTCAATAAAAATAAATGTTAGAAATAAATGAATTAACCCAAAAAAATAAATGAATGAATAAATGTAACCCAAAAAAATAAATGTAAAAATATTTCTATCTTTCAATAAAGATAAATGAATGAATCAAGCAATAATATGTGAGAAAATAAAATAATGTTAGAAATGGTTCATCTTTTATATGAAGAATTAACCCAAATAGGCGTCCACCTAATCTCTTAAACTAATAATAGCCGATAGATGTGTAATATATATATATATATATATATATTATAATATGTGTATAATTATATATAATTTATGTATATCGGCTAGAAAAAGTAAACAGTAAATCTGACTGGCAATTTGAGTAACAATCCCCCCTTTTTATTGCAATTTTAGAAAACTTAAGAAGATGTGTTAATGAAATAGTATCATGATAATATAAAGAAAAAAAGAAGAGATAAATGTTGATAATATAAAAGATAAAATAAGCATTTAAAAAAAAACTCAATTGAGGTATGAGAGGGGGAATAACTATTATATTCAACATTAGACGGAGAGTTTGATTTTTGAAGCAGAATTCAGAAGGTGTATATGATTTCCACTTATTTTCTTTTTCCTTACTCATAAATGCTATTACTTGTAATAATATGACATTATTTGTGAACAACACTTAACTAAGAACACAATTAGTCTTTAGTTATGAATAAAATTTACTTCTAATTATATTCACTATATGATGAGCCTTTCCAATTGAAAGGATTGTTCATCGTGGGGCAATGGTTTATTTTTCGCATATATGTTTAATTTCTTTGCTTAAATATTTGATTTTTAACTTCTACGGTAGTTTCTTCAGCTTACTTATATTGAGTGTAGTTGATAGTATTGTATGACGTATATTATATACTTCTTTCTTTATTATAATATTATAACTTTAATTACTAAATTTATTAAACATATCTAAATGTTGATCGCGCAAAGCGCGAACCTATTAACTAATTATTTTATGAAACAGGGTGAACAAAACTCTTTTATTATGGCTGTATTATCTTTTTTTAAAAATTATTTATTGAAAAAAGACTCCTACTAAATTTTAGTTTTCCTCTTATGATTAACTTAACTAAAATTGGTGTAAACACCGGTAAGGGCAAAGATTAAATTCTTTTAGATAATTAAATATTATTACAGTGACAAAAATGAATAATAAAACCTTCAATAGTTGAATTTTGTAATTTCATATGTAATTGATGGAAAAATCCCCTCTGGAATATCATTTGGTGTCAGATTGTCAATTGAAAATTGAATCACCAAGTCTTGATTTCAGCAGCATAAGCTGAAACGAAGGAAATAAAAGCCATGGGACCTTAGTCCCCTTACCTTTTTGTAAGCAAATTCTTCTCTCGGTCGCAGTTGCAGAACACAAAATGTTGGCTACATATATAGTATTATTCATACTTGCCTCCCTAATTTTGGGCGAAACACTTGTGTTCTTGGGGATATGGTTCCACATCTCATTTCAAGAATCAATTATTGTGGCTTTGTCTCACCTTCACAAAGGAAAAGGCCCTTTGATTGTAACAAGGATACGGATATTGATGTTCTGCGTTTTGCTGTACTGGGTATACAGCACTAGTGTCATATTTTATAGCCGGTGGATTTTTCATGGCCCCATCAATTGGAGAGATGATGTTGCTCTCTATCTCCTAATTCTGCAGGCTTCTCTCCTGGGTAATGCTTTGATTTCTTGTTTTTTTTTTTTGCTCTTCAATATACTGAAAGCACAATCCTTGTTTAATATACTGCTCCATCGTGCACATAGAGTGGATGTCTTGATTAACAACTTTTGGAATATATTGTTAAAGTCTTGCTTAAAGTGCGCTAAGGCCCTGAAGCTCAGTGAACCTCAGGCTGTGCGCTATGCCTTAATTGGCGCTTTAGTGTAGGTGTGAAGATGCTAAGGCGTGTGCACAGGTTTTCTCTTTGGACTGAATAGTGTATGTTCGTGCAAGGATAAGTGAATTTAGAGATCCGCTCTAGTTTTATAGAACCTCTAATATGTTTTTTAAAAATAAGTTTTTAGTATTAGAATGAAATAATGGAGAGGATCGGGTATAGATAATTCATATAGCTAGCTCAACTTGTTTAGGGTTGAGGCATATTTGAACCCACAATGAATAAATTTGGGTGATGGCTAGGGCTTGAGGAATATTGGTTTTAGATTCTAGTAAGAGTTATTAGCATGGAACAATTATAAGGATGGTTGAAATAGAGAAGTACTCCCGTGGTATTATCTAATTGAAGTATGCCTACCAAGGTGAAAGGTAAGTTGCATTCAAGAATTACAAGACCAACAATGCCATATGAGAGTGAATATTGGGCTACAAAAGTCCAACACATCTACAAGATGAGTGTTGTTGACTAAGTTGCTCGGACTCTTCACTTTCAGTGCTGCACCTGTGTCGACACGACGTGGGGGTGGGTGTGGGATCCGTACTGGATATCGCGAATAAATTTTGGCTACTTTGACCAAAATTGAGGAGAAATTTGGGACAAATACAATAATTTCTGAAATCAAAACAAAAATTAGGGTGATATTAAAGAAAATAGAATATCTTGTATATAGAAATTTTTATGTCTGTCCTCTAATTCTTTTCAAATTCTCCTCTTGATCAATATTTCTCCTTTTTGGAATACCTTGAATGTTTTTCACATGATGTCTCATAATTTAGACATATTTTTATTACTCTATTTTTAGATATTTGAATTATTTTCAGTCGAATCCCTGCACCTGTATTTGGATTCATACCCCTAAATCTTAAAATTTAGATCTTGAAGGATCCGATATCTAGATTCGCACCCATATCAGATACCCGCATCCAAGTCCGAACAACATAAGTTGTAGAGATACAAATGTTAGGATGTATGTTCAGTCATATACGATTAGATAAGATAAAAAATGATCACATTTGCTAAAAGGTGCAAATAACACTCTAGGATAAAATGAGATAAAGTCGTTTGTGATGGTTTGTTCATGTCGACCTTCAGATGCGTTGGTCCGTAGGTATGAAAATATGGTAAATGAAAGTGTTAAAAAGGGAGCGAGATAGACCTAAAATCATATGGAACGGAGTTGTCTCGAAAACCTACAATTTATTGGAATCCATGCAAAGTTAGCGAAAGATAGAACACAATAAAAGCTAAAATATATACATAAGCAATATCAATTAGTTGGGGATATGTTTTCGTCATGTTCGTACGTTTACTTTAGATCATATGCTTTCTGGGATCTTTTAGCCCTATCATAGATCAACATATTCTCCCTTTTTTTTAAACGGGTAATTTTTCTATATTTCATATGTAGCAAAACAATACTTAGGTAGTACTGAAACCATATATACAAGAGACTCTAACTATCACCGACACTCTCTATATTGAATTTAAAACATCAATAATGGTGTCAGTATCATTTGTGTAGATCTGATTACACCAAAAAGCACAACAGCAAAATAAAGTTTAACTTGATCTTCTGCACTCTATTCTCCACATTCTCAAAACATCTGGAGTTTCTCTCTTTCCAAATTGTCCACCAAATGCAAGCAGGTATAATTCCCCATCTGGTCCTGTCCTTTGCCTGTAATCCTGTTTCCTCCCAACTTTTAAGAGTATCTATAACCTTCCCAGGCATGGTCCAGGAAATGCCTTTGAGGTTAAGAATAATTCTCCATAGATGAGATGTTTATCTTACAGTGAAGGAGGAGATGGTTAACTGTCTGTGCTGTTTCCCCACACAAAAAGCATCTAGAACATAAAATGACACCTCTTTTCATCAAATTATCTTGTGTAAGGACTGCTTCCTTAGCCAGTAGCCACACAAAGCAAGCAACTTTGTGAGGAATTTTTGTTTTCCAGATATGTTTCCAAGGCCAATTGGCTATCTGCTGGTTGGTGCAGTTCATCCTCTTGTAAGCTGCATTAACTTTGAATAAACTCTTACTGATGCCTTGCCACCATAGTACATCTGCACCTGCTTGTAATCCACTAAACTGCTCTAGTGCACAGAAGAATTCAACCACTCTTTGTGCTTCCCAATCGTTGATATGTCTTCTAAAAATGATGTTCCATCCTTGAGGTGTCCACATCTCTGCTATAGTCCTTTGCTGATGTAGAGCTAAATTGAAGACTTCTGGAAAAGCTACATCCAATCTGCCAATTTCATGCCAATTGTCCTTCCAAAAGCTAGTCTTATTCCCATCAAATACTTTGATCTTGGAATCATCCCTCAACTCACTCCATAGTGATCTAATGGATCTCCATAGACTAACTCCATATGGTGTAGTGACCTCCTTAGTCATCCATTTGTCTTCCTGTCCATATTTTGCTTTAATAATGTTTCCCCAAAGGAGTTGATTCTCCTTGTTGAGCCTCCACAACCATTTCATTCTAAGAGTTTTACTCTGAATCTTCAAGTTCTTGATCCCTAGCCCTCCAAGGTTCTTGCCAAAAGTGAGTGCTTTCCATTTCACCAGGTGGTAGCCCTTCCTTTCTTTGTTCCCATTCCATAAAAAATTCCTCCTGATGCTATCCAACCTATTGATGACCCCTGTTGGAATGGGGAACAAGGACATCATATATGTTGGAAGTGCATTAAGAACTGAGTTGATAAGAGTCACTCTGCCACCTAGAGATAAATACTGGGTTTTTCACCTGGCCAGTTTCTTTTCACACTTCTCTATAACATTGTTCCAAATCCCAATTGACTTAGATTTAGCTCCCAAAGGCATTCCAAGATATATTGTTGGTAAAGCCCCTACTTCACCGCCCAGCTAACATTTCCATGTTTGTGACTTCATTGATAGGGTAAAGAAAACTCTTCCTCCAGTTAATATGCAAACCAGAGATTCCTTCAAAAAGAACCAGAATCACCCTGAGGTGTTTTAGTTGATCTTCTTCAACATCACAGAATATGAGGGTATCGTCAGCATATTGTAAACGGAAAAAGTTCAAAAAATATCCTTGAACTATTCGAAATAGCTCAAAAATATCCTCCGTTTGTTTTTGGTGCCAAAACTATCCCTGCCGTCTATGTTTTGGCCCAAAGATGCCCCTAAACCGTTAGTTTTGCCATTGAAGCTGACATGACAGTCCAACTGGGTTAGAATTGCTTACATGGTCGTCCACCTAAGCAATCCATATGTGAAAATTATTTTTTCGGAAATTTTATTTTTCCAGAATTTTTTAACAAAATATAAATCAACATTTATTCTGAAAAAAGTAAAAAATCATCTAAAGGGTAAATACTTTTTTCGAATTTTTTTTACTTTTTTCAGAATAAATGTTGATTTTATATTTTATTAAAAAATTTTGGAAAAATAAAATTTCTGAAAAAATAATTTTCACATATGGATTGCTTAGGTGGACGACCATGTAAGCAATTCTAAACCAGTTGGACTGCCATGTCAGCTTCAATGGCAAAACTAACGGTTTAGGGGCATTTTTGGGCCAAAACATAGATGACAGGGATATTTTTGGCACAAAAAACAAACGGAGGATATTTTGAGCTATTTCGAATAGTTCAAGGATATTTTGGACCTTTTCCGTATTGTAAATGAGTCACTTCTAAACTATCATTGCCCCTTCTAGCTACATCAAAACCTTTTATCCACCCATACTGATTGGCTGTTTTAATCATATTGTTAAGACCTTCCATAGCAATCACAAACAGAAAAGGTGATAAAGGATCACCTTGCCTTAGTCCCCTTTCTGCTTTTAAAAAAACCTGTTGGGGAGCCATTTATAAGAACTGAAAATCTGGCTGTTGACATGCAGAATTTAATCCAATTTATCCATTTCTGGCCAAAACCCATTCTTCCTAGCATGCTCAGGAGGAAATTCCAATTGACATGGTCATAAGCCTTTTCAATATCAAGTTTGCACAAGATACCAGGTTTCTTTTGTTTCAACTTAGAATCAACTGCTTCATTGGCTACCATTACAGCATCCATGATCTGTCTACCTTTAATGAAAGCCATTTGTTGATAGTCCACCAATTGTGAAATTACCCTTTTTAGTCTCTCTGCCAAAACTTTGGAAAACAATTTGTAAATGCTACCTATCAAGCTGATAGGCCTGAAATCCCTTAATTCCTTAGCACCTTTTTTCTTTGGAATGAGAGCAATAAATGTTGCATTGAAGCTTCTTTCAAAAACTTCTTTGTCATAAAAGTTTTGAAAAGCATTCATGATGTCATATTTCACTATTTCCCAGCATTTGATGAAGAACCCCATAGTAAAACCATCTGGGCCAGGGGCTTTATCTATTGCACATAGCTTCAAGCATCTAAGCACTTCATTCTCCTCAAAGTTACCCTGTAGAGCTTCCTTATCCTCCTCAGTTAAAACAGAACAATTGTCATAGCAGCATGCAGATCTCCATTGAGTAGTTTCTTTGTACAACTTCTGATAGTAATCAATAATTTCCTCTTCTATTCTAGCTGGCTCCTCTGTTAATTCATTAGTTGGTCAATATTGTTGAATCTTTTATGTGCATTTGCTACTTTGTGAAAAAACTTAGTGTTTCTGTCACCTTCTTTCAACCATATGGCCCTTATTTTTGTCTCCCATGAGATTTCTTCATTTTTGATCAACTCCTCATACTCCACGAATAGTGCTGCCTTCTTGATAGTTTCTTCCTCTGTTAAAATTCTGTCTTCTAGCACCTCATCCAGTTCTGCCAATTGACTTAACAATTTCTTCCTTTGATATCCCAAATTCCCTGTCTCACTTCTGCTCCATTCCTTGAGTTTTGATTTGAGAGCTTTTAATTTACAGGCCAGTATAAAGTCAGGCTTGCCTGAAAAATTGAAAGAACTCCACCATTCTTCGACTATGTCATTGAAACCAGCTGTTCCTAGCCACCAATTTTCAAATTTAAAATAGTTTTTGTTCCTGTTCCAAGTGCCTCCTTGTAGAGCTACTGGAATGTGATCAGATGCTAGTCTTTGCAGTGGAATCTGTTTTATATTACTAAAACTATCATCCCAATTTTTACTTTTAGTTTGTATATACTGGCCTTAGATGAATTTAAACGGAGAAACATAGTCAGATGATTCATATAGCCGATCCAACCTGGTTGGAACAGGCGTAGTAGTTGTAGGGGTAGTTTGCATCTTCTTCTGCTTTCTTTATTCTTTTGGGGTAAGGACATTAGAAGCCAACTTTGATATCAGTTTATTATCAACGTGGATTTCCTTATCCAAAAAAAGAAATAAATTAAAAAGGCCAGCTTTGAGCTTCTGTTTCATTTGTTTCCTCAGACCTGGTAATGACCCTCAGGAGTCAATAAGCTGCTTATTGAAATGCTCCCAACACATATAATACCTTCTAAGAATGCACTGTGATGTTTCTTTTGACAATGACTGCACTATGATGCCTTTAATACTATTATTCATGTTATCTTCCATGATCTCGTCGAGTTGTTACTTTCACCTTACATGAGTTGCATCCACAATAATAAACTTGACGTTTCTGCTAATTTGCTCTCTTATTCTTTAGTAATTCATCCCAAACTTGTTCCACTTTCTCAAAATGAACATTACTTGTTTAATATGATTTCATAGAAATTTTAGTGCTGATTTTGAACTCCATATCAAATTGTTATCACATAAATAGATAAAAACTGATCCCTGCCAAAGGATAGTTGGTGACTTGGTGTATTGTGAAGAGCAACAAATATGCTTTTTTTAGCAATCAATTAATTCCTTTACATTCCCCCCCCCCCCCCCTATTCTCTACCCTCTCCTGTACAATGACTTCCAAGTTTCAAATGGTAAGCATTTAATCTCTATCTCCCCCAGCCTGATTGAACCATATAAATGCCCAACTACAGTGGTCATATTGCTAATAAGATGCTTTAAAGAAGAAACTAGATTTGCTTTTCAAAAAAGAAATTATTTAACACATCCTGATCAAAATGAAATTACAACAACAGCAACGACCCAGTGAATCAAAATGAAATTACGTTACCCATTATTATGCAATGTTAACTTTGCCTATCTGAGCTTCGCCAGATCATAGTTAGTCCCAGACCCGCATAAAAGACAGTTACAGTAGGCTGACCGTTGACGGCTAGCTTATAAAATATTCTATATGTGAATTCTCTGAGTATTAATTAGAGTGAAAAGGATGCAAATGATGCATATAACCACCCCATATAATTTGTGATTGAAACGTAGTGGATTGATTCATTGTGGCTTTTCGAGTTTTTAAGCCAAAGAGAACTGTGAACCCCATGTTAAGACTTACTGGTTACTTTGTTGTGAATAAACCACCTAGTATGAAAAAGAAACTGAAATAAAGTCTTCTATCAAACTGTATAATTGTATTTAGTTCAGTCTAAGAAAAAGCAAGCATAAAATGCCAGGGTAATCTCCTGTATACCCAAGAGTTTGATATAATATAGAGTTGCAGAACACCGTAAAGATATCTTCAAGGCTTGCTAAGCCTCATGCTTGTTCTCATTTTCCCTTCTTTTATCATAGTTAATGGAATCAGCTCTTTCAGTTCTCATATCAGTGCTTTTAAAAGCGAAAAGTGCAAAAAGTAATTACAGCAAACAGTGTTTTTCTCTATGAGGAGTGAAGCGCACACTTCTCTGAAGCGAAGCACACAATTTACAAAACACTAAAAAGTACCAAACATAATTAAATTTAGTACTATCATAACGAAGTTGGAATTAAAATAACTTTTTTTGTGGTTAATGCAATTAAAATAACTAATTCAGCATCTAATTATTTTTCTCTAAAAAATAACTAATTTCAGTATCAAATGTAAAATGATGCTGATACTAGTCTAACTCCTCAAAGTTGAGATTCAACAAACCGACAGCTTCTTATTTGGATCACTTTGCAGATCATTGTTTGAAGCCCACATTTCTTTGTAGTAGGACTGAACTGAAATTTTTGATTTTCCAGTTTCAGTTTCTCCATTTATTTGGTTGGTTCATGGTTTAATTGTTTCAATATGTCTGTTCTTCGGTTCGTTTCTCGGTTTAGTGGAAGTTTTTAGAAAAGAATTTCTGGGCCATCCTTCTTCCTGTTTCTCTCTCCCGACGGATGATATGATAACTGCAATAATAAAAGTTTTAGTCCTTTTGACTGATGATATGTTAACTGCAGCACACTATTCTTGTAATATTTGATATGGGTTTGAGTCCAAAGAATTGAAAAAAGCTATTTCAATAGTGTTTGACTGATGATATGTTAACTGCAGCACACTATTCTTGTAATATTTGATATGGGTTTGAGTCCAAAGAATTGAAAAAAGCTATTTCAATAGTGTTTGACTGATGATATGTTAACTGCAGCACACTATTCTTGTAATATTTGATATGGGTTTGAGTCCAAAGAATTGAAAAAAGCTATTTCAATAGTGTTTGACTGATGATATGTCAACAGTTTTATTTCTTGACTTGGGTTTCTCTCAAAGTTGGTACTTTTGATGTTCTCTGGCTTCCCTGATAGACTCTTATGGTAATATTTCATTTCAAAATTTGATTTTTTCCCTCTTATTGTTTCTTATGATACTCGTTCTTATTGAGATTTCTGTTTTGCTTTTTTCCTTACTATTTTGATATTTACAGAACTGAAAAATAAAAAGCTACTCCTAAATAAATAGTCTATGACTGATGATATGTCAACTGATTCTTGAGAAATTCTTTTAGTACGTTTTTAGTTTGAGTCTTATTCGTGAAGCACAAAATATGTAAAGATACATTTCTTGGAAATGGAAAAGCAGGGTACTGAATTTCTTATGACTGATGATATGAAGTAGAAAAAGTAATATAGGAAATGGACTGGGCAGGTTGTTCTAAGCTAATTCACTTGTGTAGACAGATGGCAAGTCTATTAATATGTGTCAAAAAGGAACCTGTGGTGCAGCTAAGATGACACAAGTCTTATAAGATGACACAAGTCTAGTGTGCATGTAAATACCACCACCACCACCACCAACAACAATTAAAAAAAAAAAAAACCAGGGTAGTCCCACAAGTGGGGTCTGGGGAGGGTAGTGTGTATACAGACCTTACCCCTACCTTGTGAAGGTAGACAGGCAGTTTCTGATAGACACTCGGCTCAAGGACAAATAAAAAAAAAGTAGCTGTGCATGTAAATACCATTAGGAAAAAAAGGTTGTTCTTTGCTTAGATTAGTAAAAAGGGAATCATAAAAATTAATGGGTGCCCATTTTAATGAGAAAACGTGAAAAGGGTTTGGGAGCAAGTACTTGCAAATGCAGCCCATTGCAAAAGTTTAATTCTGACCCATTTTGTGTCTGGGGAAAAACCTCTATCTGACAGGCCCAAAACTAAAAAACGGAATTGATTAAACTGAAGTTCACATGAAAAAAATCGAACTGTACCAAAATTACTACAGTTCAGTTTTGGTTACCGAAATGACAAACCGAAAACAGAAAAAAACACACAGAGCTTTTGCTAAACCGAACCAAACCAACCAACACCCACCCCTACTTTGAAGCGCATGGCTTCACCCATGAAGCAAACCCCTCGTTTCACATTGCTTCACCGCTTTAAACAACGAAGCTATGGCTTATAACAATGCTGTCGGCAAAGCTCTCAACAACTATCTTCTGTTTTTACGCTCTTTCTTCCATCTGAATATCAAGCTCCTCACCAGGAACCTCCTATTTGGGAGCTTCTACTGGTGAAATGCCACTAAATTTATTATTGACAAGTTACAATCAAATTAACTACCTGCAGTGGCTGTTTGACTTGACGAGTAACAAACAACAACAACTACATACCCAGTCTTATCCTACACCGTGGAGTCTGGGGAAGGTAGTGGGTACACAAATCTTACCCTTACCTTATACACAGACCTTACCCCTACCTTGACTTGGCGAGTGAGCACATGAAATGTCCAGATGGGATGTGTGTGTTTCATCTGAACTACTACTAATCTACTATTCACAAGCATTTGGAAATAGTGTTTAGCTTTTCATCCCTTTTGTTACTAGGCCTCTTCCTCCCATGGATGGTTTCCCCATTTCTTGTGTTTCTCCAATGTCTTATGGGATGGGAGCATACATTGCGAGTACTTTAACTACTAATTATAACTTTTATGCTTTCTGCATCCGCTCCTAACCATCACAGATGGTATTTATATATGGTTCTGTTAATTCACTGTGCACCGGATCCCTAAATAAGTCCAAGAAAGGCTAATTTTGTTTTTAATGAAGAATAATGAATCCATTTATACTGATATGAGTTACTAAATTGAGTTTGAAGCTTATAGGTGGCTTCTCAAATCTCACATATCCACCAATAATGCATGTGATTCTCGTTCTCCTGTCTTACACATACAGAGATAGTGACCCATTAATCCTTAAGATCTCTTGATTAACCAAGACAAAAGGGTAAGTGCTCCGTCCCTCATAGGTAATACTGAAGGTGGAGTTTGCCAATAGGAGTAACATATATTTAGGTTATGCCGATGCATATACTTGGACAACTGATTTATGTCAGATGTGTTTTGCAAATTTCTTGGTTTTAAGTTTTAACACTAAACCTGTGATTTGCAGGATTTTCGCTATTTGCCTGGATGTTGTTGGACAAATTGTACCCTGTAATAATGGAGCATCATTCTGTTAGGAAGATTATCAAGGCTGAAGAAATACTTCTTCAGGAAAGAAAATTGCTTATGGGGGATCATAGTAGAGTTTTACAGGGCAAGATTGCCGAATTGAGAGCTAAAATGAAGAAGCTGGAAACGGATTGTAAGATAAAAGCTACTAAGGCTCAGGCTGCAGGAGCTATTGTTTTGAAATTAAAAAACCAGTTTGAAGAACTCCATTTTAAATATGATCGTTTGTTTGAATACAATCAGACACTTCGAAACCAGTTGCAGTCAATAAGCCATGAGGTTGAGATTAATGATGAGTCAGATGGATGGTCTAACTTGAAAATTAAGCTGGGTTGTCCAACCCTTGAAAATAATGGACAAAGTGTCGATTTTAAGAATGTAATGGAGGCAACAACAAAATGTGGTGAGTACCTTGTCTCTGACACTCAGTCATCGTCCTCGCCCAGACATCGCAGGCCAATTTATCAGTGTTGAGGACAAATAACCAACCTGCTTCCTTTGAAAGATACTCGTCTGTGTAAGTAAAACTTTTGTAAATTCTCAAAGAGAACTGATGGCAGAATGTTGTACATGCATTGCCTTAAGCTTTATTTTCTTTCCTCTTTCCCCCCNAAGGAGCCCGTTTGGATGGGCTTGTTGTAAGTGACTTTTAAGCCAAAAGTCATAAGTTAGGAATTCTAGCTTTTGGCCTTTGGCTTATTTTATCATTTTAGCTTAAAAACAAGTGCTTAAAAATATTTTTTTACTTTATCCAAACACTAAAAAATTGTTTAAAAGTTATTTTGGCGTAAAAGTACTTAAAATAAGCCAATCCAAACGGGCTCAAGGAACCTCCATTGGAGGTCATCGTACATTCTAGAAGATAGCAGAGAAGAGAGAATGAAGAAGAAAAATGGAAATGAATGGTGTTGTTCTCATTCAGTGATGTAACAGTACATATATACATTCAACTCACACGTGCACTTAACCAATTAACCTAACTGTGCATGTGGCTCTTAATACTCCCCCTCAAGCTGGAGGGTGGTATACATCTAACGCTTGGATAACAGATAATGATGTTGTGCTGCTCCTAATTCTTTGGTGAATAAATCTGCCAGTTGTTGTTTGCTCCCCAAGTACTCTGATTGTATCAGCCCATTCTTGATCTTTTCCCTAATGAAATGACAATTAATGTCGATGTGTTCGGTTCTTTCGTGGTAGATTGGGTTTGCTGCAATTTGCATGGCCGTTTTACTATCACTGAAAAATTTAATTGGCTTTGATACTTCCACACTCAGCTCCCGTAGTAATCCTTCTAGCTAGACTACTTCAGCTACTGTTGTTGCCATGCTTCTATACTCCGCTTCAACTGAGTTTCTGCTGCTTCTTGGATTTCCAAGATATTAAAGAGTCTCCTAGCTTGATTGCATATCTTGTTACACCTTGTGTATTCGGCGTTATCATGCTGTAAATGGGATAATTCGGTAGGAAGATA